TCCCTCAGTAACAATTCTGTGTCTGTCCCTGAGTAACAATTCTGTGTCTGTCCCTGAGTAACAATTCTGTGTCTGTCCCTGAGTAACAATTCTGTGTCCCTAAGTAACGGTTCTGTGTCCCTAAGTAACGGTTCTGTATCCCTAAGTAACGGTTCTGTGTCCCTAAGTAACGATTCTGTGTCCCTAATACAGAGAGATCTGTCTCTCTTGAATGACCAGAGGCAAATGGGGAATTGTAAGATGGCCGCAATTTATAGCTCCACCATTACACAGTGCTGGCTGGCTGGCTGCTGATTGGCTAATGCGATCACATGTCATGAATGAATGCATTATGGGTCAGCGCGCCTTGTCTGCGCGCCTTCCCAGAGATCCCTGCTCCGTCGCCGCACATGTCGCCGCCATTTTTGGAAAAATTTAGATTCGCGCATCCGAAGTCTGCTAATTTTCGGATTCGGCGCAAATCGAAATTTTTCTAATATTCGAAACGAATTCCACTTCGCCGAGTTCGATTCGCTCATCTCTAGATGTGACATAGAAGGGGAAGTTATGAAAAGTTATATAAATACATAGATACACTTAGTGTTGCATGCACTAACTGTGGTTCCTCTTTGCCTCTGGTTCTCTAATAATGCTGATGGTATGAGCCTGACATGGGGTTGCAGTGTGACAGACCAAGTATGTGCAGTCAGGATGAAAGGTGGAAACCTGCAGAGACTCATGGAACTGTTAGAGGAGCAGGTCTTGTGATGTGAGGCACCATATTGCAGCCCCACACGACATATAAAGGAAATGATCACTTGGGAAAACTAGAAACATCTGAGGTAGCCAGGATTTACCAGCAAAATCTGCCAAATGCTGAATTAAGATGGATACTGGTGGGACTAATGATGGAGAGCATTAACCTGGAATTATATCGTACTCTGAGTCCCATGATTGGTAACTGTAGATGTACTTGTAGCACACCCACTAAAAAGCCATGGGTGAATTTGGGCCTATTTCCCCTTTAGAGCACACACAGCCAGACAAAGAGTATTTTTTGGTATTTTTCTTCTGACTCAAAAGATCAGGCTAGGGGTTTCTTTTTGTTTTATCATCAGAGAATGATGAACTTGGATAGGGATGGGGAGCATGGAATACCCTGGAACTGAAAAAAAAAACTGTACAACTTGAGGACTGCTTACATTCTGTCCACTCTGCACAACTCCTGTACGTCTTGCACAACACTTTGGTTACACTGCACAACTCTCAGCTGTATTGCACAACTACTTGGCTGTACTGTACAACTTCTGGCCACAATTTTCTCACAAAGTCCCACAGAAGCTGCAGCTTTCTGTTACCTGTACTTTACTAAGAGTCCCAAAGTATCTCTCTGTCAACCCTGCTGCACTGGGGTCTTAGTCACAGGATCATTGATTGGCCTCCTAATGATATCCCTCAAGGTTCTACCTATTGTTGGAAATGTAGACTCACACTGCCTCTGGACAACCTGGGCTCCCTCCCATAGCTTCCTTCCGGCTCTCTCCCGTGAGCTTCCTCCTGACCCCACTGAATTTTTTTACTGTCTTTTCAGGTGGGCTCCCCAGCTAAGCCTAGCTAGGACTTCAGTGTCTTCAGGCTAGCTTCCACCCCAGGATTTTGCCCAGGAGGGCAAGGTCCCTCAACAGGGGTCTTCTCTTGCATTCTGGACTCAGGAACACTGCCCTACACACCCTTCAAGCTATCCCCTGTTGCTCAGGCCTCAGACTATTTATGGGCTCTCCCCTCACCAGGGCACACCACCCCAGGGATTGGTTGGAGTCCCATAAATATTCAGGCTGCAGACTCTGCCCTCCTTCCCACTATTGCCACGTACCTGTAAGTGGAGCCTGAGATGATGAGGGTGGCTTCTTGCACAGTTCCCATTCAAACAACCCTGGATAGCGAGACAGGGACTGCAGGGGCAAAAGAAGGCCAGCACTGGGACAAAGTCATCCAGCTCCCAGGGTTAATATGACAAACTACGCCTCCGCCTTACCCAAGATGAGGGGGTGTGGTTAATAGCAATAAACAGAGTGAAATGTATGTAATGTTTGCGGTATGCATTGAAATAGTACCAATTATTGTGGTACACTGCAGCAAACTGAAGTTTGAATATGGGGTTAACAGTGGTGGAGAAAACAATGTCCCTGTGTCAGTGGTATCTTTGAAAGGGAAACATTTTCTGTGTTCGGTGCTGCTAAGAGAGAAAAAATGGTTCTACATCACTAGTGTCAGTCTGAGGAAGAAGTAAGGATGGGAAAGTGGGCTCTGTGGGGTGCATGGAACTAGAGGGATCTAGGGTTAGCAAGGAAGTTGTGCTGAAAGAGCCCATAAGGATTGCTGTTGCTCAGAAAAATGATGTGGCAGATCAATTTTCAGAGGGTGTTTGAGAAGCGGTGAGGAGGCAATATGTCACCTTCTCCCTGCTTCTTTTAACCCACTAACCCACTGCCCTGCAGATGTGTGTATTGCAATTGCAGTTTGGCTTTGTTCCATTTAATTTTTGCTGTGGACGCAAAGCGCTGTGGTCATGACATGTGAACAGAACAGCTGCATCTCCTTATTCAGGTTGGTGGTTGGGGGGTGGTAAAAAAATTCACTCAGCTGCTTGAATTTAGCCCCTTTGGCCTTCTCATGTGAACAAACCCAACACAAGTCCTTGTTTACACTTTTGATTCATGGGGTGGTAAAAACAGTTGCTGAAATGTGCTTTTACTGCCTCTCAACTGCCCTCCCCCCTTCTCCCAACAAGCTACAAAGACAGTCATAACGGGGGAATACACATGCATGGCAAAAATTACAATGTTTAATCTCATGTCACATTTGACAGGCAGATATCCTGCTGAATGTGATCCATGCAAGTAAATGGGGCTGAGCTACAGCCATTCTGCAACCCTATGTAATGCATATGGTTTTGATACATGGTGTTGGATTTTACTAGGTTAAAATAGGTGGTGAGGAGGTGATTTAATGCCTTCTCTCCATCTGTCAAATGGCCTCCGAAAATCAATCCAGTGCAAATCATTTTTCAGAGAGCCATTGCAATTGTAAACTAGCCCTAGAGCTCTGATTCAGCAAGGGATTTGTTCACAGATCCCCTGAGGATTGAAGTGGGCTCTGTTCTGTGTGAAAGGATTTTTAGGGTTCCCCACACCCAACTGCCTGAGCACAAAACATACAGCTGCTACCAGCTGGTCCAAATATCACAGCCACAATACTGAGCTAAAAAAGCAGGTTGCTTTTGGCTACCACTTAAAGTGAAAAATGTAGCCCATTGAGGTCACTCTGCAGCCACCCCACATCTAATGGTATGGTAGTAAGGCAGATATTTAATTATATCAGGTGGTGAGGTGGCAACATATCGCCTCTTCACCACCTCTTAAAACAGTCCCATTCCCTTACACGTATGGATGTGAACGATCCCTCAAAGAAAAATATCCCAGTTGATTTTCAATATTGGCATATGATCGCATACATATAGCAAATTGTAGTCAAGCTTCAAGATCAATAGACTGCTCTTCTTCATAGATGCAATACCTGACTATAATATATTCTAAGGTGTAAAAGAACATTACATATAAGAATTTTATAAATTTTACAACACAACATTTATTTATTACATGATAACATATTGACCTGATACGTATTTTAACATATGGGTCAATATGTTATCATGTAATATATAAATGTCATGTAAAATTTTAAAAAGCTTATACCGGTATGTATTGTTGATTTACACCTTAGAATATATTATACAGTAGTCAGCTATTGCAACCCTGAAGAAGAGCAGTCTATTGATCTCGGAACACATCTGATGCTTGACTACAATTTGCTATATAGATATGGTCATATGCCACTATGAACATATAATTTGTTGGGTATATTGTCTTTTTAATGGATTTTAAATAAATGATTGTGTTTTTTATTTTTGTGTCTTGTATTTGTGGCTTGTTTATTGATGCTGCCTTTAATGTCCCATTCATAGGAGATTTTTTTTTGTTCTAATGCACTGAAGTAGCACCAAGTTTAGTGAATGGCGCACCCCGAGAGGTACACTGAATCAGTCAGGAACAGGCAGAAGTCGGCAACAATTGGGCAGCATGGTACAGAGACACTAGGCAGAAGCATTGTCAGTAGCCTAGGCCAGGGTGGGTAGCAGAGACACATAGCAGCCACAAGCAGGTAAAGATAATCCAAGAGAAAAGTCAGAGCAGGAGCCAGGTCGGTAACAGGATCAAGGATGTGCATCAAGACTGGATCACAGGAAAAAGGCCTAAGACCGTACAGCACAGGAGCAGTGGAGGTCACTGGATTACATAAACTGCCTGTCAGCAGTGTGCGCACGCATGTGCGCATGCGCATGCTCATATGTGAGGGCAAACAAGCAATCTGTCTTCTATGCTCATGCCCATGCGCACACACATTAGCCACACAGCAATTCTTAACCCGATGGCTGGTTTCACATTTCTGACAACTATGTTCCAGAGCACTCTGAAATGCAGGGGGAAGTAGCAGAGCAGCAAAGTGTGAAACTCTAGGCAGCCACAATTAATCAAACCCTTACAGAGGAACCAAACTAAATTTGCCTAGCAACCTACTATTAAGCTGGGCGGGTGCTACACCTACTTTGGAGGTATACTCTCTTCCTGGACATTGCTGCTGAGATTGATTATAGATGGGTGGAAGACCTCTATGGACGTGCTCCTTGTGAACACATGTTGGATGGTGATGTATGTGCTTTCGTTGTTCTGTTGAAGCATCATTAACCACCTCCTGCCTGCCATATAAGGTAATGACGGGCGCAAGGCGGTTCTCTCTTTCTGGGAGGATGTCATATGATGTCCTCCCACTCTAACCGCACGTGCACAGCTCTGGGAGCACGCAGAGCGGTGATCGGTGGTGCGCTGTGTCTCTAAGACACAGTGGATCACCGATCAATGGAAAGAGCCGAAGATGTCAGCTCGGTCTTGTGATCAGCTGTGTCCAATCACAGCTGATCGCATGTAAATAGGGAAATGCCAGTTATCGGCATTTTTCTCCTCATGAGCTGTCACGTAGACAGCTCGAGAGGAGAGGAGAGCCGGTAATAAGCATTCCTCGGAGGGGACATGTACACTGATCATCAGGGCACTGGTGATCAGTGTGCCCTGATGATCAGTGTAGCCCCAGCAGTGCCACCTGTCAGTGCCCATCAATGCCAGCTGTCAATACTCATCAATGTCACCTGCCAGTGCCCATCAGTGCACATCAATGCCACATATCAGTGCCTACCAGTGCACATCAATGCCACATATCAGTGCCCATCTGAGCTGCCTTTCAGTGTCACCTATCAGTGCCAGTCAGTGTCCCCTATCAATGCCAGTCAGTGCCACCTATCAGTTCTGCCAATCAGTGCCGCCTATCATTGCCTTTCAGTGCCGCCTATCAGTTCCACCTGTCAGTGCCACCTATCAGTGCCATATATGAGTTCTGCCTTTCAGTGCCCATCAGTGATGCCTGTCAATGCCCATCACTGCCACCTACTAGTGCTTCCTCATCAGTGCCCATCAGTGCCACCTATCAGTGCAGCCTATCAGTGCCCATCACTGCAGCCTCATTAGCGCACATCAGTGCCCTACCCTACCCCTCTCTCTCTCCCCTCTCTCTCTCCCCCTCTCTCTCTCCCCTCTCTCTCCTCCCCTCTCCCTCTCTCTCTCTCTCTCTCTCTCCCTCCCTCCTCTCTCTCTCTGATTGGTGTCAGTGGGAGGAATAGTTCCCCTATCATTAGTGCCAGTGTGGGAGGAATAGTGCCCCATCATTGGTGTCAGTGTTGAAGTAATAGTACCCCATCATTGGTGTCAGTGGGAGTTATAGTGCCCCATCATTGGTCTCAGCGTGGGAGGAATAGTGCCCCATCACTGGTGTCAGTGTGGAAGTAATAGAACCCCATCATTGGTGTCAATGGGAGGAATAGTGCCCCATCATTGGTGTCAGTGTAGAAGTAATAGTACCCCATCATTGGTGTCAGTGGGAGGAATAGTGCCCCATTGTTGGTGTCAGTGGGAGGAATAGTGCCCCATCGTTGTCAGTGGGCGGAGCTCTAATAGGAAGAGGTGGTGCCTAAATAGGAAGGGGTGGGGTTTACAGATGAAGGAGTGGATCTGAACAGGAAGGGGTGGGACAAATTTAGATGCTAGGAGGTGCCCGATTTTAGTCTTGCCTAGGGCAGCACAAAACCAAAATACACCACTGGCAACAACACTGCGTAGATAGCTTCATGGAATGAGTTTCCATGGCTGAGCAGCTGCATCCAAGCCTTTCATCATCAAATGCAATGCAAAGCATCAGATGCAGTGATGTAAAGCATGCCGCCATTGGACTTTAGAGCAGTGGAGATGTGTTCTATGGAGTGACAAATCACACTTCTCTCTCAGGCAATCTGATGAGTGAGTCTGGGATTGGCAGTTGCCAGGAGAAAGATACTTGCCTGATTGCATTCTGCCAAGTGTAGAGTTTGGTGGAGGAGGGATTGCTGTGTGGGGTTGTTTTTCAGGGGTTGGGCTTGGCTCCTTAGTTCCAGTGAAAGAACTCTTAAGGCATCAGCATAAAAAGACATTTTGGACAATCTCATGCTCCCAACTTTGTGGGAACAGTTTGGGGATGGCCCCTTCCTGTTCCAACATGACTGCACACCAGTGCACAAAGCAAGGCCCATACATGGATGAGCGAGTTTGGGGTGGAGGAACTTGACTGGCTTCTAGAGTACTGACCTCAACTCAATAGAACACCTTTGGGATGAATTAGAGCAGAGACTGAGCCAGGCCTTCTCATCCGACATTAGTGACTGACCTCACAAATGCGCTTCTGAAAGAATGGTGAAATCTTCCCATAGACACACTCCTAAACCTTGTGAATAGCCTTCCCAGAAGAGTTGAAGCTGTTATAGCTGCAAAGAGTGGGCCAACTCAATATTGAACCCTATGGACTAAGACTGGGGTGCCATTAAAGTTCATGTGCGTGTAAAGGCAGATGTCCCAATACTTTTGGCAATATAGTGTATATACACTGGTCAAAAAAATTAAAGGAACACTGAAAACACATCAGATCTCAATGAGAAAAATATCATCCTGGATATCTATACTGATATGGACTGGGTAATGAGTTAGGAATGTAAGGATGCCCAATCGTTTGATGGAAATGAAAATTATCAACCAACAGAGGACTGAATTCAAAGACACCCCAAAAATCAAAGTGAAAAAAATATGCAGCACGGTAGTCCATTTTGCTGAAATTTCAGTTTGTAACTGTACTCAGTTAGTTTATATGGCCACCATGTGGTTGTATGCATGCATGGCAACATTAGAGCATGCTCCTAATGAGATGACGGATGGTGTCCTGGGGTATTTCCTCCCAGATCTGGACCAGGGCATCACTGAGCTCCTGGGAAGTCTGAGGTGCAACCTGGTGGTGGTGGATGGACTGAAACATGATATCCCAGAGGTGTTCTATTGGATTTAGGTCAGGCGAGCATGGAGGCCATTCAATGGTATCAATTCCTTCATCCTCCAGGAACTGTCTGCATACTCTTGCCACATGAGGCCGGGCATTGTCGTGCACCAGGAGGAACCCAGGACCTACTGCACCAGAGTAGGGTCTGACAATGGGACCAATGATTTCATTCCAATACCTAATGGCAGTCTAGCCTGTAGAGATCATCACTGACCCACCACTGAAACGGTCATGCTGACTGATGTTACAGGCAGCATAACATTCTCCATGGTTTCTCCAGACTCTTTCACGTCTGTCACATGTGCTCAGGGTGAACCTGCTCTCATCTGTGAAAAGCACAGGGCGCCAGCGGCAGACCTACCAATTCTAGTGCTCAATGGCAAATGCCAGTTGAGCTCTATGGTGCTAGGCAGTGTGCACAGGGCCCACTAGAGGTTGTCGGGTCCTCAGGCCACCCTCATGAAGTCTGTTTCTGATTGTTTGATCAGAGACATTCACACCAGTGGCCTGCTGGGGGTCATTTTGTAGTGCTCTGGCAGTGTTCATCCTCTTCCTCATTGCACAAAGGAGCAGATACCAGTCCTGCTGATGGGTTAAGGACCTTCTTTGGCCCTGTCCAGCTCTCCTAGAGTAATTTCCTGTCTCCTGGAATCTCCTCCATGCTCTTGAGACTGTGCTGAGAGACACAGCAAACCTTCTGGCAATGACATGTATTGATGTGCCATCCTGGAAGAGTTGGACTGCCTGTGCAACCTCTGTAGGGTCCAGGTATCGCCTCATGCTACCAGTAGTGACACTGACCCTAGCCAAAACTAGTGAAAAACAATCAGAAAAGATGAGTATAGAAAAATATGTCAGTGGCCTCCATTTGTAAAACCATTCCTGTTTTGGGGGTTGTCTATTTGTTGCCCATCTAGTTCACCTGTTGTTAATTTCATTAACACCAAAGCAGCTGAAACCGATTAACAACCCCCTGTGCCAATTAACTGACCAGATCAATATTCCAGGAGTTGAATTGACTTGATGCTATTCTCTGATTAAAAAGTGTTTTTTGAGCAGTGTATATACAGTATATATGATTGGAAATAATTTCTTGTCCCCTTCTATTGGTTGAACTGGATGGACTTGCATCTTTTTTCAACCAGACTAACTATGCAACTATAGATGAATACTTTTGCACAAGATAATGCATGTTTATGGAGATATATACATGATCATACATTTCCATGTGCTTACTTAAGGGGTTTCAACCACTCCTGTGAGAAGGAACTAACATTTTATTGCACAGTCTGTTATGGAGCAATAGTCCTTCGAACTTTAAAAAGGAAAACTGTTATTAATAAAGGTAACATAATACACAGTTTGACAAACTTTTCTTTTGATCAGTTTGTGGAGCACCTGTAGCAATAGCTTTAAAGGCAGAGGAGTACTACACTGCTTAAAATGCCATTGGCCATTGAATGTTACAGTGGTTTTATCTATGAACATACAGTATGGCCATTGGTCAACCTAAACTAATGTTTTGTTGTACAGTCTATTTTGGTAAAAGTAGCTCTTGGAATAGTCAACCTTTGAGAAGAAACTGTTATCCTCTTAGTCAACATACAGTGCCCAATTTTATAAGATCTATTTCACATTTTGTGGGAGGTAGCATCTGTGGGACATCTTTTCATCATATACCCTTTATTTTAAGTTTTAATCAAACACACTAAACCATGCACATGGACAGTATGTGCATGTCCCTGTAAATGGAAGGGAGATAGGTGCAGGAGTACCATGCGGAGGTTCAGCTTCTAAGTGCACCTCTCTGCACGGCACCCATGTATGGCCCACAATATTTGTTTATGTTGAAAATTCGTATACATTGATGGTATGGGCTCTTTTGACAGGTTGTTCTATCAAGTAGATATGTGTACACGAGGGATGTCTCAGTAACCAGTTATCCAACCATTCAGAATATATTTATGTACCATGGTATAAGATTTTAATTTTGTATAAACAAATCTATGGAATTCATGTTCCAGCCTTATATTTTTGGTTGTTATTTTAAGAATCAGGTCTGTAGAAATCCAGAGGACACGTCTTAATTTTGATGTTTACTTTCTGTGAGGCTCTATGGACCCCTCATCTTTTTCTGTCCGGTTCTGTGGGCCCCCTCATTTTCTGTTTTATGATACAGCACTTTTTTGAGGGTTAGCTTATGCAACTTTGAATATGAATTTTCAGCTTATGTTGACATATTTAATGTATGCATTTTAGCATTTTAGAAATTTATATTGGCTAAAGGTAAAAAGGTAAGGTATAGGTCAGTTAAGTAGTATTGTCATTCCTGCTTGATAAGAGACTTTAGAAACCAAAGGTTTTTAAAAGTGCTGTCAGCCTAGTAGCTTGGCACCAAGCCACTGAACCCTTGCAAAGATGTTCACTGCGCAACAAAAGCAGATCAATTCTTTCTTAGAAATTATTGATTTGATAGTTGGAACTGAGTAGGCCTAGAAAATAATTTTCTGATCAACCATCTAGTATTATACATCATGACAGAATAACATATGTTAAAATTGCTGTCCACTCACTACAATTGATTTAGCATGACTCACTCACTTACTTATTTGTTTCTTTTTTTTCACAAAGATGTTTTCTGATAATTAATTATTTTGTTGTTTTTCAGCCAGAATAATGTATTTAACTTATATTTTTAAATAAATAAATCTCATAATGCAAGTTTCAGTAGATTCGAGGAGACTATAACCTGTCTACATATGCATGTTTTACTGCTGTCACCATCAGATAACTTGCCCTGACCAATAATATACAGCAGCCACTGTAGCAGGTGCATAAAGACAGGAAGTGGCTGCAGGGAGGCTGGAGGA